CCCTCAAGTACAATTTTATACAATTTTCCTTTTTATAACAAACTTCAAAATTATGCTTAGAAATCATAAGAAAATATATAGCTTTGTTGAAAAAAACTTATATTTGTTCTGAAATATATAAACAAATAATATCAATGGTCTTATTTTGCAAAAAAAATTTATAAATTATATTCTTTTAATTTCGTAAAATTCACTTTATTTTTGGATGTATAAAAACTTCACTCGTCTTATTAAAAATTTAGCTTATAACGAACAAATTTGACTGGTCCCCCGGAGTTTATTATAAACGAGTTTTACTCGTAAATTCGGTAACCTCAAATCTCCTAAACTAGAAAAGTTAAAAAAACAGTTAAAGGTTATCGTCGCTCATTTAAAAAAAACGGACAGGTGTCTGGTAATTTTTTCAAATTCGGCCCCTTTGGAGAATAAACGGGTAAAAACTGTAATTTGGTACTTCTTTTGCACCCCATGTATCTTTTAAACCAGAGAACATTCAAAAAATATTTTTGAATCCTTCATAACTTGACGAACAAATAAAAATATGAATTTAGTACTTTTTGGATATTCGGACGTTTAAGAGGTGAAAATTGTACCTATTTTTGGTACTTTTTTATAAAAAATTGTTTTTGGTTTATTAACTTATACATATGAATACATAATAACGGGCTCCCAATACGAACTTAGAACTTAGAAACATGTAATTAAGCACTTGAGAACAGTGTAACCAGGTCTCAAAAAATGTTGCGGCTAAATCCCATCCAAAATAATGCTAGAAAAAATGCTAAATTGATTTTAAAATGCCAAAAAAAAGCTAAAATTTTTTAAGTGTTTTTATGAACAATTCATATTAATTTGTAACTGAAATTCATTGTAATTTATATCAAGTAAGAAAGTATATTCTGCCGTGGTTGACCATATGAGTATAAAATTTGATTTATTTTTCGTAATAAAGCATTTATGTTGAAATGAACCTTGGTTCCGATATATTTAAACTAATTTTCTGAAAAAGGCTTTATACATTTGTATATGTATGGGGGCTAGGTAAAATAAAGGACGGACTTTAACCATTTTTAAAAGGTTTTGTCATTGGATCAAAAAGCATACGTGCTTATTGTTCTGAAAATTTCAACCTCTACCAGACGGTCAGACTTACATGGCTTAATCGATTCAGAAAATGATTCTTAATCGATTAGTATACTCAAACGTAGTATAGTGGAGTAGGGTAAAAAATTAAGTTCCGTGGTATTAAGATAAACAGAAATGCTAAAAATTATTTCAAAATTTTTGTAAATTTAGCAATATGTAATGTCTCTAACTTTAAAATATTTCTCAATGCAAAAATTACATTAAAACTCTATTAATTACACTAGTTGCTCATGGTAAAAACCTATATGTGTTTTCGGAAGGAAAAGTATAATATTTCTAGTTTTACTTTTTTTATATAAACAATTTTATTTGTCTTCCTCAAAACACTTTAAAAATGGTTTTCATGTCACAAAAATATTGAAAATTCCGTTGAAATAATTTTAAATCTCGGTGAATAGATGTCAGGTTTATAACTCATACTTCCAAGATTTTTTCGAAAAAATATATATGAGAATGTATGAAATGAATTGAGAGATATATTCAAATCCGTAAGTTTGTAATTCTGGAATAAATTGTTAATAATATTTTCGAAATTTATGTATTTATATAACAAAATTACTAAAAATTTGGTAAAAATAAAAAGATTAAAGTAGAAAGTAGGATGAGAAAGTCTTAAATATATATTATTGATTTTTTTCAATACTTATTTTCAATAAATTAACAAGAACTCCTGAAGGATGATAAAAATTAAAACCTCTTTATTTCGTATAGGAAAAAATAAAATTTGTTAATTAACCGTCATACATAGCCTTTTCCAAAATTATATGTTTCATTCCATGAGCAAACAAAAAGTATTAGTTTGTAAAATAACGTACTGAACGTATTTGTAAAAATATATGAAATCTCTTGAATTATTTCTATCACCTCGAATTTAAAAAAGCATTGGGTTCCAGAAAAATATTTAGAATACAACATTTTAAAGTATTCACTTGTATTGGCGTAATTTTAAGTTATTTATCTTCATGAATCTTTTTGCATTATTTTGAATTACAGTGTAAATTATTACATTTCTCATATTTCTTGTTGCTTGTGTTTGGGTAGACATTTAATTCTCATTTTTTCCGGTTAAACCTATTTCCAATATAAATCTTTTTTGCAAAAATTTGTCTTTTTTTTTTGTTTATATACTAAAATTGCAAAAAAAGCTAAAAATGCTAAAAATATTTTATAAAAATGCTAAATAAAATGCCAAATGCTAAATTAAAATTTTACAGCTAAATCAAAATAAAAAATGATAAATCTAGCTGCAATAATGCCAAAATGGTCACACTGCTTGAGAATCTATAAAAGTGGACTTTTTGGTACTTTTTCGTTCTTCAAAAGGTACCTTTTGAGTTTTCTATTAAATTGAACATAGAAACATGAAATTATGCACGTAGAGCCTGGAGTAAATGTGAATCTATAAAATGGCACTTTTTGGTACTTTTTCGTTCTTTGACTGGTACTTTTTGAGCTTGCTACAAAATTTGAACCTCGAAACATGAAATTAAGCACTTAGAGCCTGGAGTAAATGAGAATCTATAAAATGGGAACTTTATCGTACTTCGACTGGTACTTTTTGAGTTTTCCATAAAATTAAACCTAGAAACATAAAAATAAATATGTAGCGCCCGGAGTAAATTATTAAACCTATTTCCAATATAAATCTTTTTTGCAAAAATTTGTCTTTTTTTTTTGTTTATATACTAAAATTGCAAAAAAAGCTAAAAATGCTAAAAATATTTTATAAAAATGCTAAATAAAATGCCAAATGCTAAATTAAAATTTTACAGCTAAATCAAAATAAAAAATGATAAATCTAGCTGCAATAATGCCAAAATGGTCACACTGCTTGAGAATCTATAAAAGTGGACTTTTTGGTACTTTTTCGTTCTTCAAAAGGTACCTTTTGAGTTTTCTATTAAATTGAACATAGAAACATGAAATTATGCACGTAGAGCCTGGAGTAAATGTGAATCTATAAAATGGCACTTTTTGGTACTTTTTCGTTCTTTGACTGGTACTTTTTGAGCTTGCTACAAAATTTGAACCTCGAAACATGAAATTAAGCACTTAGAGCCTGGAGTAAATGAGAATCTATAAAATGGGAACTTTATCGTACTTCGACTGGTACTTTTTGAGTTTTCCATAAAATTAAACCTAGAAACATAAAAATAAATATGTAGCGCCCGGAGTAAATTATAATCTATAAAAAGGGACTTTTTAGTACTTTTTAGTACTTTTTGAATTTTTTATAATATTGAACCTAGAAACATGAAATTAGGAATGTACAGCCCGGATTAAGTGATAACATATAAAAGGGGACATTTTGGTACTTTTTCGTTCTTCAAAAGGTATTTTTTGAATTTTCTATAATATTGAACCTATAGACATAAAATTAAACCTGTAGGGCATGGAGTAAGTGAGAACATATAAAATGGAACCTACATTTATGAAAAATAAAATTATGAGGATCGGTCCGCCAATATAACCCTCTTACAGAAAATCAGTTTATAGCTAATACATCATTCCAAAAGTTATCATTATGATATAATTATGGTAGCATTAAAAACAATACTTTAAATTATAGAGAACTTTGTCCATAATTGATCCAATTCCACATTTAAGCCCCTAATCCGAAAATCACGGTGACGTTCTTATTAATCTAATGATCAAAGTCCATATACATATATATGTATATGACCACTTCCAAAATTTGCTTTTTTACGACATATGATTTACCGAATATAACTCTTACTTCTTACTTATTTTAATGATAAATTACCGCTAAAATAGGAATAGTCTGCCATTAGAATTGCGAGTTTTCATACACTCTAATAATGTTTTCAAAGTGAAACTTTTGGAATATTTTTCAATCTCTTTGTGATCCCTTTAAATGATGTTGTTCTGGTAGAACTTTAACATCCATGTAAACATTTTGGGTAATAAATTGGGGGACTACCAATGAGGGGAGCGGAACCTCCCATATGAATTAAATACAAAAATTCGTTTATCTGGGAAACTAATAGAACTAAATTCTTAAAATTTTGCACGAAGAACTTTAATATTCATCTGAACATTTTGGAGAAAAAAGGGCGGACTTTCATCTGGGGGCTTGAATTAAATAGAAAAATTCGTATATCTGAGAAACTATTAGAGCTAGAATCTTCAAATTTTACTGAAGAACATTTAGAGAATAACGGGCGGACTTTCAATGGGGGGCTTGGCACTTCCCATATGAATTTAATACAAAATTTTGTATATCTGGGAAGCTATTAGATTATTAAAATTTTTCATAGATTAAATTAAAATCTTAATTAACGTTCGGAATAATTGGCGAAATTGCAATAATTTACGTGGAATCTCCCATATGTAACAAACCATTGTAGTTAGAATCATCAAAATCGTTAAGTGGGTTTCTTATTTATATTGCTTTTAGGGTAGCACAGCACACTGGGTATAGCTAGTAAATAAACAAATAAAAAATCTTTGTTTTTACGTTATTGATCATTTTCTTAATGCAAAATTTTTTAGAAACTGATTTTCTGCAATATGTTTTATATGGAGGATAGGGTTAAATATTGGTAGATCCTAGTAAAACTTGGAGAAAGGATTTGTTTTTTAATTTTTAAGAATTTTTTATTCATCCCTGCATAATTTCTTACACAACTTTTGAGCTTGCTCTGTTTTGTTGTTATAAACAATATATTTGCTTCCAAAATCCCACTTTCTGATCTCTCGGATTCCGTTTTTATTTAAAATCGTAGAAAAATTAAAAACTAAACGTAGTTGAAAACTTACCCGGCTTACAGTCGATTTTAAGCCGCCGCCGACATATTTAGTGTCAGTCGCCGCCGCCGTTAATATTTGTCGGCGCAGGGCTCTGCTGGGAATATCAAATCAGCTGAGATAATTATAATAATTCCTCCTATTGAGAATATGCTGTTTTTGCGATTAGATATTTGTAATTTATTTTACCTGTGATAATGCTTAATTTTTAATATTTTCATACTGATGTCGAAACAATGGGAAAAACAAACGTCCAGAAAATTATTTGGTTTATAATATTAATAACATTGTGTCAACTTGTGTTTGGCTTTTTAGGTAACTATAATATTTGCATAGATGTATGTAGCTATGTCTATCTTTTATTCTTTAATATGTGCGTACATATATTATTAGGAGAAGGACATCATCCACCTTTAAATAATATTGTAACCACTCAAGATATTATTGCTGGAGACGTTTTCTTTGAAATAACCGAACCTTTTTCATTGGAATACACATATAGATTACGACCAGCTAAGAATTTCGGAACTTCATTTTCGAAACAATTAGAGGGAGTTGCATTAGTACCTACAATTCCATCGCATGGATGTATAAAACTTGAAAATAATCATGCTGTACGCGGTAATGTGGCTCTAATTGACCGTGGGTAAGTTAAAGTCCTAAAGTCATTTTCCAAGATTACATATAGAAATAAATAAAAATAGTAAGAATATATAGACGGTCATGCACCACTATATGACATCCAACTCCAGTTGTGTGTGTATATTTAAAATATAATAGTGACAAACTGAAAGAGGATTTTTTGGAACAACGTACAGCTTCATATGATATATGTTGTTCTTGTACTTAATTTGATTGTTTATAAAAGCAAAAATCGCACAAAATAGGATTTTTTCGGAAAAACGTCCTACAAATCTCGCTATTTGTATAGAATTAGCAAAATAATTAAAAGAAACTTAATTTTAAATTCTTAGGCAAGAATCCCAATATAGGTATGTAAATTACAAATCTCTTTGTAAGTCTGTTCGTTCGTCAATCACACCAGAACGGCTGGACCGATTTCCTTCAAATTTGGAATAAAGTTAGATCTATAGGTACTTGGAGGGTGTTACTGGCTATATTTGTTTTCAAAACTTGGACTAGGAGGGGAAATGGGGGAAAATGGGTGAAAAACGTCCAAAATTAGTACTATTAAGAGTAAAAAAAATTGCCTTTAATATTTAAATATTTTTGTAGATAGGGCCTTTTGTTTTTTGTCAATTAAATCGCTAATTTTGGTCGGAGGAGTACTATTTTTTGTGTGGACATTTGTTTTGATGCAATACATTAGAGTCAGTGTTGCCACAACAAAATTTTTTTTCTAACCAAAATTCGAATAAAAAATAACCAAATTAAGAAAAAAGTAAATAAAATTATTTTTATTTGTTTCATGTTTACATTTGGACATTAAAATAACAAATTCATTTTCTGAAGTGGAACTATGTTAAATTTCGTCGCTAAACTGGTATTATGAACACAGTTATGAGCGTTATTGTAATTTTCTTCAATTATGTACCGATCCTCATAAACTTTGACAAATACATTTCCAATAAAACTTTATATTGAATTTCATCGCTATAGATGCTTTTTTAAGCAATATAGTAATTTTCTGAATAGGGCATAATATGGGGCTAAGTGAAATCGTTGACCGATATTTCGCATTTTCAATACCAATCAAACTGGGTCAATTAAAAATATTTTGGCAAAATATTTCAGTTTTCTATCTTGTTTCTTTTCGACTCTATCGTGTTTTCAACAATAAATATATGTCTCTTCGCGGATTCGTTAACAAATGTAATTAGTATTTATTTTAAAAAACAACTGAGCTTTTGACGCGTTTTAGCGCAATTCAAAAATACTCCACATATGACTTTTTGGAAAACAATTTTAAATTATAAAATTCTTCCCATTTTATGTACAGATTTGGAGATTTCGTTCGATTTGGAGATTTCGTTGTAAACGTAATCTATCAAAATTATCCAACAAATTGACCAAAATTTAGAATTTAAGACGGTAAAATAAAAACTAGTATACAACATTATTTAGAAAATGTAAATAAAGAACTAAAAGTCATGGTGAGATAGTCAAAGGTCATGAGTATCAAATCTTTTCATATATCGCGATTATTGTTCGTCGTAAGAGTTTAGATGTTATTACAACTTTTGTATACAATACAATTTCATTTTCCTTAGCTGTGTTACTTAAAAATATCAGTTGATTATTACTTTAAAGATATTGTGATACTATTCTTGCATCAATTAGCAGAAAATACTTTATTAATTCTTATTAAATCATTTATCTTAGAATTTCGGCAAATTAACACAGTATCTGTTTATGCAAAATTTCAAATAGGTATAGAAGTTGCAATTATACTTCAAATTTTAAATTTAATTTGGAGGACATAATCTACTAAGTACGTAGACTATTCCCACCAAATTCCATAAAAATTGGAATGCGAAATACAGCCTACTTCGTTTTTTCACATAAGCGAGTTCTTTACATAAAAAGTTCCAATAGAAATATTAAAGGAAGGACGGACGAGTTTGAATCGACCCCAAAAGTGATTTTAAGTTCATGGATGCACCAAAAGGAGAGAGAGGATTAATTATTCACGGTGTTAGATTGACTAGTGTGAATAAAATAATATTACGGTGTTGTAATGATTTAAATCAACTCATTTAATATGTGGAAAACTCATAGGTACTTTTGCTAAATCCTAACCAATTAAGATATCGAAAAATACCCTTGTGCACATAAGTATAACCAGTAGATGTACAAATTGCAGTAATAAAAAAATTTCGAATAGTAAAAAAAAATTCCACATTTTACCAAAATTCAAAACAGGACGATATGTATATTTACGTAGTTGATTTAAAACTAGAGATAAAAGAAGTTTTTTTTTTAATTTTATTTTTAGAATAAAAGCAAACAGCATTTTTGTTCAATTGTTTGCAAAAAATAACCAAAACGAAAAAATAATTCACATGTACACATGCAAAATAAAAATAACCAATTTTGGTTAATAATAACCAAAGTGGCAACACTGATTAGAATCAACAATCGATTTTGAATTTTTTGTTAGTTAGGGCCGTTTGCGTTTCAGATGACGATACACTTTTATTAATTACTATACCTAATAATCAAGACGAATTTTAACCCCCTTATTCACAAACAAAATTTGTATTTTATAAACAGTTTATAAATTAGATTTTGTATGGAAATTTTGTTTATAAACCTTTTAAAAATAAAAATGTTGTTTGTGAAAAATTTAAAATTTTTTGAACTTTTTGTGTTATATTTAACTTAACTTAAAATTATTTTTCCTGTTTGTTAAAATACTTTGATATTTAAGTCACTTTTAAACCTCCTAGAGCGGGTTAAATTGAATAATTTAAATAAATTAAATGTAAATATTGCTCAAAATTTGGGCCAAATATCGGTGGATAGTAAAAAGTATATTTTTATATTAAGAACTTCATTTGTTATTAAAATTTTCAAAATTCACCCCTATTCTGCATTTCGATTACGTTTCCGCATTCAGTTACGCCACGATCGAAAATTGGTATTCCAACAAAAAACGAAATCGTAAGAAAAAGAAGAAAAGAAGATTAAATACAAAAACTCCGCTTAAAAAATCTTACCTTATGTCTCCTTTGAGATACTATGAATAGTTTCAATTATTTTTTCCAATGCCAAATTTTTTTAATACCAATAAAATACAATGAAGCAAGAAAATCTTTTACAATAATGTTTTTAACCTTTGTCGTGTATTTGTTGTCATGAATCTGTTGAGGCATGAAGTCTTACTTAATTTTTTTATTAAGGATTTTTATTAAATATAGTCGTGTATTGCTCATTTGTTATTATTTACTCCATTTTCACTAAGATTCCCGCTCCTAGTCAAATAATGTACAAATGCCGATAGCCCTCCACGATAATAATTAAAACCCAGGGTATTGTTTTTAAATTTGTGTATATTGAAGGGCTTACCTCACAATCATTGTTGACATTTTAAAATTTTCGATACAAATTGGGACTCATCTGACCAAAATTGGTAAAAAATTACCAAAATGTCTTAAGTAGATCCAAATATTCAAATCGGAACCAAAATATATAAAACATTTTGATATACATACAAGAAATTTAAATAATGATATATAAAATGTCACTTTATTTGGCCGACAAAAAAGTGAATTCACTATATTATTTTAGATGTTATAACATCTAAAATTTCTTTATATATAAAGAACAATTTTAAGTACATTAATTTTGTTTTATTGTTATTTTTGTAGCATTGTATATTAACTACATGAATTTAAAAAATGTTCAATATTCAATAATAATTTTTCGCTGAAAGAATATATCATGAGTACTTTTGTCCTTTATTTTGTCCGATAGTGTATACATATGTATGTAATTTTATTTTTGTTATTTTTAAAATCGTACCATATAATGTAAATTCCTGTAATTTTAATAAATATGGCCAACAATTAATAATATTTCTATATGTTTCATTGAGAATTTCCAAATACTTATTGCAAAATTTTACCTTTGACCTCCAAAGTTTAAGCCTTAGGATTTCCCAATTTATATATAAATTCAGGGACATATTTTATATTATTTGAAAATAATATTCTGTAAATATTTTGTTTAAAATGTATAACAGTAAAGAATTAGGACATATTTTCTAAAATATTCCAAAAAAATAAGTTTTTCACGAAATTCTCAGAATTCAAATCGCAGGTACAGCTAAACAAACTATAAGTGGCATTGACCTACTTTACTTCACTGTTTTATTCCCTAATCTATTGACCATAAATCCACCGGTGATATTTCAAAACATTCTAAATTTGTTTAACAAAGATAAAAAAAACTGAATATGGAGTTTTGAAACTGATGTGTAAAAATATGATAAATAAAATAAATTAAATTTATCATAGCTAAAGGCACACTGAAAAAATCCATGCCTAATATATACGAAAAATGACGTACATTGTACGAATCTTTCGTTGTTTCGCACCACGAAATTATTTTGTAATATATACAAAATTGTACGAAATATTTTAGTATAATGCAAGATAATCTTGAAAAAATGAATTTACATAAATTGAAAAAGTGAATTTGAATAAATATGGTAAAATTTACGAAATATTAATTTATGCAAACATTTGTGTTCATTTTAAAATAATTTTTATAATTTTAGTTAAAAATTATTCTCCACACGAATTTTTAATTTTTTTATGAAAATAGTTCGTGAATTATAATATAGTTTTATTTGATGATAATATAATTAATATCATTATGTTTAATTTCGCTAAAATTTAAGAAAAAAGTATTACGAAAGGCTTTCGTACTTTCGTAAAAATAGAAAAGGGTTTTATTAAATAATATTTCTTATTATACACGAAATTTTTGTAAATATATATTACAAAAAAAGAAGTTACGATTTTTTTTTCGTAAAGTTGAGCATGGATTATTTGCAGTGCAGGTTCACTTTATCTTTTAAGATCGATTATTTAATTAGAAATGTGAGCGACGTTAGGTGTTTATTAAAACATGTATGGTGGTTAAATCTTAATATGGAATGAAATATTGCTTAAAATAAGGACCAAAAATACGGACCTGTTGCAGCTAGCTTTTAATGTATGTAAATAGAATCATTTTTAATTATTATAATAAATTTTATATATTTTGCAGGCAGTGTTCATTTTTGACCAAAACCATCAATGCTGAAGATGCTGGAGCCAGAGCTGCTATCATCACAGAGTTTAACAGCGAATCAAGTGAATTTGATTATTATATAGAAATGATACATGACGAAACAAATCGTGATGCTCAAATTCCCGCAGGATACTTACTTGGCAGCAACGGTGTAGCTATACGAAATACTTTGCGCCGATTAAAAAGAACTTATGCTCGCATAAACTTGCCCGTTAATTTAACGTTTGTTCCACCATCAAGAATAAATCATCCTCCTTGGTTAGGTTGGTAAAAAAATTTAACGACAAAAAATTTGTAAACTAAAGCTTGCAACCAAAGTGACTTCATGTTTTCTATTTATGAAAATATTTGTTTAAATTAAAAATTAATCTATTTAAATGTGTAACTGTCTGTATAAAATAAGTACAAACCAAAAAAAATTGTTTTTATAGTAAATCATAATTAAAAATGATGGTGAGAAAACTTACAACAATTAGTAGCAATGTTATTTAATCTATTATTAAGGTTTTTGGGAATAAGATAATCTATACTATACGTTGCACACATAGCCTGGGGGAAATTTTTCTGGCCAAAAGTCTTAATCGTTTCCGAATCAGGCCAATGAAGATTTGGGCTCGTTTTATAAGTGAGTTAAAAAACTAAAAACTTTGAATAGGCTCTGATCAGGGCGGCCTGATTCTCCTTAAGCGGTGAAGTCAACGACGCACATTGGGGTAAATGGGGTAAAAAAATGTCTAATTCAGGGAAGGGTAATATTAATTTTTTTATTAATATTGTCGTATTTGTTTGTTTATTTTTATGTTAAGAAATACATTTTTGAATTGCAATAATTTTTTAAGGCTATTCTAATGTCCGATTGTCTTTATTGACTTATTTTTAAATATTATTGTATTAATGCCAGTTACAAATTTAAAGATATTATAATAAAAATTGGCACATAGTCTATATAGGTCAAAGAAAGGCCACATTTCAATTTGGTGGAATTGCTCCGTTATTTTGCATATCTTCCATACAAACGGACCTTCCGGATATGGTTTTAGAGCTTATAAATATGTTTTTATACCCACCATCAATAAAGATTGTTTTGAGTTTTTAATTGTAAAATGTTGTAAGTTGGCATAAAAAAAAAACAAAAGTGGCACTTTTAGGGAATCTTTGTGATTTAGAGCGGGTTTTTGAGTTGGCAATCAAATGCCAATTAATAATTAAATTAGTTAATCTAAAAATAAATTTAATCTGATGTTAATCCCCTTTAGGGCCAATCTTTAGGTGAAAGATTAGCGATTAAATTAAAATTAACCCTCGAAAGATGATTTTGAGTACTCAATTAGTTAATTTTGTATGCAAGTTTAAGCGCCCAATGGAGGTGGTTTAAACTTAAGCACGAAATGCAAATGTGTAAACAGCTGATGCAAAAAAATTAATACTATTTTTATTAATATAAACATTAAAATGTTCTATTTATTGATTAGTATAAATTATGGACACTTCAAAATACATTTTTTTGTTTTTAATTTAAGTTTTAAAACAAAAAATGCATTTTGAATTCTTTATAATTTATACTAATCAATAATTTATAATAATCAATAAATAGAACAGTTTAATGTTTATATTTACAAAAATTGTATTAATATGCATCAGCTGTTTACACTTTTGCATTTTATGCTTAAGTTTAAACCACCTCCATTGGGCGCTTAAACTTGCAAATAAAATTCAGTACTTTTCGCTTATAGTCACAACCTTTAATTGCACACAAATTGAGGACTATATCGCTGAAGTGATTATAAACAAAATGTTTTGTATATGCCACAATGTGCTTATAAAGAAAATCTTATATATTAATTTTGTGTGAATATAAAAAAATAACAAGTAAGAGTGTTATATTCGCCCATGCCGATAATGGGGGTAGGATCAGTTATCGACCGATCCTCATCAAATTCAGTTGAAAAATTTCAGTCCCTATAAAACAACTGTAATTTGTACGAACTTTTGAGGCATTATTGAGCGTTAAAGTAATTTTCTGAAGTGGACCTTATTAGACCGATCTTCAATAACTTTTGTACATACATATTTACATTATGTTTCGTAAGTAAGTTATTTCGAATTTCATCGCCTAAGTCGTATTTTTAAGTAACTGATGAAAGTTAAAGTAATTTTCTAAAGTGGTCCTTAAATGGGGAGTAGGATTAGTTATCGATCCACCTTCATAAAAATCGGTAGAAAGATTTCAGTTCCCATAAAACTTGTTCATGTCGAATTTCATCGATGTACTCGCTATTTTGTGGCAGTAATGAGTTTTAAAATCATTTTATGAAGGGGACCTTGTATGGGGGTAGGGTCAGTTATGGATCGATCCTTATAAAATTTCTCGCATTTTTGAGCCAGTAATGAGCGTTAAAGTCATTTTCTGAAGAGGACTTTATATGGGGTAGGGTCAATTAGGGATCGATCCACATAAAATTCGGTAGAGAGATTTTGGCTCGCAAGAAACTTACTTATGTCAAATTTCATCGCTATACTCATATTTTTTAGCCAATAATGAGCAGAAAATTCATTTTTTGAAGGGCACCCTATTTGAGGGGTAGGTTCAGTTATCGACCAATCCTCTACCTCTTGCCGTTCAGCTCTATCGTGCTTTCAACAGACAGATAGACGGACGGACAGACATGGCTATATCGTCTTAGAATTTAATAAGGACACAGAATATATCGTCACCTGAAACGCAAACGGCCCTAGCGATGGGTATAAAAATTCATGTTTATTAAAGAAATAAATATTATTTTCATAAATTCATTAGAAATATTGTTTATATTATTTAAAAAAATCATCAATTTTAGTCTGTTTTAGGTTGAGGATGTTGGTTACAGTTTTATCTTCTATATTTTTGAAACAAAATATTTGAATTATACCTTGCTCTAAGCATAAATGTCGCAAAATATCTACTGCATTTAAAATTTCTTTAATCGAAAATTGTTTTTCTTCAACAAAAACTTCTTCATTTTATTCACGATAATTTAAAAAAATTTCGTATGTGACAATATTGTGAAGTTTTTTCATATAACATGACTTTTAATAGCCACGGATAGATGGCATATATGTGAAAAGTGCTTATATCAAAAAATGGACTATAAAGTAATCTTTTTATATGAAATTGATCGACAGAGACATTTAAATCTAATACAATTGACAATGTCACTAATGTGACTATAACAGTGATGACTATAAACGAAAACTACTGTAACTAATTGAGTACTCAAAAACAACTTTCGAGGATTAATTTTTGTTTAATCGCTAATCTTTCACCTAGAGAGTGGCCCTTAGAGATTATTTTAACAGCTCTAGATTTTTTCAAAATAAAATTCCAATTTTCGGAAATCTTTATGAAAACAAAGAAGCCTTATGTAACTTACGCCATTTTGGGTTACAGAAAAAAAATTTTCGAGGGCGTAAGTTTTATGTCTCCGAGTGTAAAAGAAAAACCGCAAGTATTTCTTCAAATATTAATTAGTTAATAAAAAATAAGCTTATCTTAGGAAAATGCTCAAAATTTTTGGATTTATTAATCATTTTAGAAGGGTTTCGTTTCTCCGGAAATTGTGATATCAAACCTTTTATGAAAGTTTTTGGATCAGCACAAATATTGGCGTAATTATTTTGTTAAAATTTCAACCCCTTTAATAGATCGAAAACTGCTGAACATGTATTCTAATTTAATGTATTATGAAAACATACATCATTTTATAATAGATTTTGTGGGAAAAATAAATAAATAAATTTATTATGTTGTCCAGATAGTCCTTAAATTTTATACCACATTTTAAAAATTAAAAAAAAAAATAATTTAACTTTTTAAAAAAAAAGTTCAAAAAATAGCTTCACAAAAGTATTCGAATTTTTTGTATAAATCATATTTAGATTAGCATTATGAAGTAAAAATAAATAATTAAAATGAAATTAATGTTTTGTATAGTAGCCTTTGTTTTTAAAAACAACTTCCAAGCTTCGTGGGACCGTTTCTACCAATTTATGGAATAGTTCTGGCGTTATTATGTCCCGTTCTTCATGCAAAGCAACCGTATGGTGGTTTTAGAGGATAATGAGTGATTTAAAAGTTGTTCTTGTAAATATAACCAAAAATTTTCAATGGAGTTTAAGTCCAGACATTAACTCCATTGGAAATTTTTTTTTATTACTTTTTTTTTGTATTTCGTAAAAATAATATAAATTAATAAAATTTCATTAAAAAATCTTAAATACTATTATTATTTTTAAAGTAGCATCATAAAATAACACAGTAATTCATAAAAAATAATAAATTCTAATATTTATATGAGACACTGTATACCAGACTTTAGTATACAATTCTACAGGAAAATTTATGATATATAAACTTAATTTTATAGAATTTGGATATAGTGCATCTAATGTATAAGAGGAAAAGAAAAAATGCAATATTTTCAAAAAATAATTTAAAAACTTGATTTTATCATTCATAAATGTAATAATGCACTTAAAAACCAGTGTTACAATCAGCGTTGTCAACTATTTTATTCCAAAAACGCGCTAAAATTTAATTTAAAGTCACTAAGGGCCAATCTTTAGGTGAAAGATTAGCGATTAAATTAAAATTAATCCACGAAAGATGTTTTTGAGTACTCAATTAGTTAATTTTGTTTGCAAGTTTAAGCGCCCAATGGAGGTGGTTTAATCTTAAGCACGAAATGCAAAAGTGTAAACAGCTGATGCAAAAAAATTTATAAAATTTTTATAAATATAAACATTAAAATGTTCTATTTATTGATTAGTATAAATTATGGACACTTCAAAATACATTTTTTTGTTTTTAATTTAAGTTTTCTTTAATTTTCATATTAAATTTACAACTGTCTTCTTCTTTTTTATAAAATATGCATTGTTTTGATAACAAACAGTGAAGTTTTCTGTTGTTTTGTATGGAAACACTGCGAAGTTTAATCTTGTACTCAAAAACATCAAAGGGGATTAACATAAGATTAAATTTATTTTTAGATTAACTAATCTGATTATTAATTGGCATTTGATTACCATCTCAAAAACCCGCTCTAAAAGTATATAGTACTAGTGTACCCTGGGTGCTTCGCTTAAGTACTAAAATACCAAAAATCTCCCTTTTATAAATTCTCATTTTATAAGAACCGTGTGTCATTTGTTTCAGTCCCCACTGTGGAAATTTTAAAACGTTTGAAAGTACCAAAGAGTCCCCTTGCGGATACTTATTCAGTCAGGACTCTGCATGTTCAATATTATAGTACCATTTGAAGGATGAAAAAGTACCAAACAGTTATCTATTAAAGAAGATAATTCAGTGTTTGTTCAATAATCTTTTGTTTTGGCTTAATATTATAATATATACAAAAAATTCCATTTGAAGAAGGAAAAGTGCCAAAAAGTCGTCTCTGATAGATTTTCATTTAATGATGCTAAATTTTATGTTTC